CATCCAATTAGTTTATTTCATTTTTCAAGATAATCCACTCAGTGATTATTTGATAAAATTACCATATAACCATTTTAATAAATCTCTTGAAGAAATGTTGACGGTTGAATTCATCAGCGGTGAACCCCTGGGCGAATTCAGCTTGAACAGCCTAACTGTTCGAACCGACCAAATCTATGCAGTTTGTAAATCATTTGCATATTGATCATCTTTCTGATAACAAAATGGTGGTTTAGACAGAAGTGTCTACAGGATACTATCTGATTTCAACAGATATCTAAACTTTTATCCATCTCAGCATACATCAGTAAAGGTAGGCCTAGTTAAATGTTGAAGTAACTGAACTAGGAGTCCCTCCTATAAGTCAAGAAATAAAGAAATGCAACATATAAGAGGAACTTTATTTCCAAACAATTATTATTATTATTATTTATTATTAGTGCCTTGGGTTCCTAGTGGAACATAGGGATTCAGTAGCACGTCTCCACTCCACTCTGTTCTCTGAAATCTTTTGAACCTGGTTCCACGACTGACCACAACCTCTCATTTCCTCCTCGCACAATCTCCTCCATGTCACCCTCGGACGTCCAACTCGTCGTTTCCCATCGGGATTCCACTCGAGTACCTGGCCTGACGCGTGATGCCCCAGTCCGCCTTCTCAGTGTATGTCCAATCCCACCCATCTCCACTTCTTTCCATTGCATATTTCTTGCGTGATAGGTTCTCGGTTGGTTCGTCATCAGCCAGAGCTCCTTGTTGCTTATTCTTTCTGGCAATCCATCTGATCTTCAGTAGCGAGCGTAAGCAATTGTTGATGAATGTCTGTAGTTTATTGGAAATCCCTCTTGTAACGCTCCAAGTCTCTGAACCATACAGAAGCACTGATTTGACGTTGGTGTTGAAAATCCGGATCTCGTCCCACATGCTGAGTGCAGAATATCTCCACACTGGTTTCAGGCTAATGAACGCCTGTCTTGCTTTTCCGATTCTGACTTTGACATCCTCGTCTGTCCCGCCTGTAGTTGAAACAGTGCTTCTTAGATAGGTGAAGGAGGTTACTTCCTTTAAGTTTCTCCCGTTCATGGTGACTGGAGTTAGTGGTTGTTGGAGTTGTTGGTGCGGTATCTTCATCACCTCTGTCTTGAGTTCGATATATATATATATATATATATATATATATATATATATATATATATATATATATATATATATATATATATATAACTATCTGGACTGTCTCTAGGCCTTTGTAGAATGGCATATCCTATTGATTTTAGCCTTTCCAACCAATCTGATCACTGTATATATGCTCACAGGATTTTTCTCGGAAGTTCGAAGCAACATGATTGGTTGTGGAAGGTATTCTGAGTTTCTTATCACTATGTAGGCAATTTTTTGCATTTTATACTCAAATTTTTAGAAATTATGTCAGTTCATTCATTGAAGCGAAATGAATTTAAGCGTTAATTTTTTAAATTACACTAAATTTAATCGCTAAATGGAATTAGTACTTTAAGTTGACTTGTCGATCAGTTGAACAATTCATGAAATCACGACATTTCACACAGCCTAACCATCGATTCTAAGGTTCCAATGATATGGATATTAGAATGCTGAACGGATTATCAGTAAACGCCTTTTATCTTCTAAAGTCAGGTACTTAGAATATTTAACAAGAAATAGACACTGATAAACTGAAAACCTAAGGTAACTCAAGGTCAACTCAGTAACCAATCAATCGGTTTGCCCTTGAATTCAAGGCTCAATTACTAGCAGTTATACCAACCTAATGACATTGAAGTGATCAAGAAATCAATACCAACCTATACCATTCTTGTAATCAAAGGTAGAATTAAAAGTTTAATAGTTGGTGGTAACATTGTACAGTGTTGTGAAATCCTACAAAAAGATTCAACAATTTTCAATTACCTTCCACTGATACTGTGATTAAGAAGAGAACTTGTGGGAACAGAATCACTGATTTTAAAGTAACATGCATTACTGACTGGTGTGAGTAATAACTAGGGAAAGAAGATGCCTATTTCGTCGCAGCTTGGCATTTTTTAACAGTCCATACCTTGTACCCGCAAAATAAATCAAACCTAATAGTATCACTTCTCATTGTGAGTATGCTGATCAGTTGAACTCTTGAACAGTACATAGGACTAGACAACATAAAGTTGGTTACCCTCCAGTGGTGGTTAAATATATCTAATCCAATCCCGCAAGAGGTCAACCACCGCCCGAACAGCTCAGTGGTAACGTCGCTGACTGCAACACTGAGTGACGCGAGTTTGAATCGTAGGAGACACACTAGTTCCATTCAGGCTGCAGATGTACCCTACTGACGAGTGCCAACAAGCAGGAAACCTAGGTCAAGCAAGGTTCCCTGCCTGTTGCCTCCATCTAACCTGCATCCACTGAACTCTGACAAGATGCTAGGCCGTCTATTCTGGTGGCTACAGTGCAAAATGACAGGTAGAATTCGATCAACACTTAGGACCCCATGACATGAAGTTTGTTACCCTTCATTCATCGAATAAGGTCAGTTTAGTAAAGAATGCCGGAAAATGCCGATCCCAGCTTTATCGAAACTTCAAAGTAGGCTGACTTTCTCGGAACCCTCCCTTGTATGGCAACATAATAGAGGCCTTGAATTCCACCGTAGTCCTGTTATAATCACCGCTTACATCACTAATTCTTTTTTCAGGCGTCCTTCTGTATTTATAGATAAATTTGGGCGGATAATTTTTTATGATTTATGATTTTCCATATATATATATATATATATATATATATATATATATATATATATATATATATATATATATATATATATATATATATCGAACTCAAGACAGAGGTGATGAAGATACCGCACCAACAACTCCAACAACCACTAACTCCAGTCACCATGAACGGGAGAAACTTAAAGGAAGTAACCTCCTTCACCTATCTAAGAAGCACTGTTTCAACTACAGGCGGGACAGACGAGGATGTCAAAGTCAGAATCGGAAAAGCAAGACAGGCGTTCATTAGCCTGAAACCAGTGTGGAGATATTCTGCACTCAGCATGTGGGACGAGATCCGGATTTTCAACACCAACGTCAAATCAGTGCTTCTGTATGGTTCAGAGACTTGGAGCGTTACAAGAGGGATTTCCAATAAACTACAGACATTCATCAACAATTGCTTACGCTCGCTACTGAAGATCAGATGGATTGCCAGAAAGAATAAGCAACAAGGAGCTCTGGCTGATGACGAACCAACCGAGAACCTATCACGCAAGAAATATGCAATGGAAAGAAGTGGAGATGGGTGGGATTGGACATACACTGAGAAGGCGGACTGGGGCATCACGCGTCAGGCCAGGTACTCGAGTGGAATCCCGATGGGAAACGACGAGTTGGACGTCCGAGGGTGACATGGAGGAGATTGTGCGAGGAGGAAATGAGAGGTTGTGGTCAGTCGTGGAACCAGGTTCAAAAGATTTCAGAGAACAGAGTGGAGTGGAGACGTGCTACTGAATCCCTATGTTCCACTAGGAACCCAAGGCACTAATAATAATAATAAAGACCTTCCGGCTTCATGGAGAATGGGTTAATCAATCAGCCATTGGGTTGAAGTTTATCGGTTCACAGTTTCTTCCGTCATTTTGCAATATAGCGCGACTACCAATCAAGGTCTTCAGTTAGCATCCGCTTCACGTGTGACTGGTTGATCCCATAGATCACGGCTTCGCATTACAACTTCGGGATGTCCATGTCAAGGCATGTCAATAATCAGCAATATGTAGCGGTGCGGTTTAAAGTTTATGGGAATTTCATAAACTGAAACACCGACTTCATTCATGAAATTGTGAACCTGATTCATACTTCATCAAAATTCAATGTTCAACAAAGTGATTTCGTATGAAAGTGAGAAAGAATGAGAATTATTTAACCGAAGAATTTTTTACCAGTTTCAGTGATGAAATGTTGAAAAAAGTATTAGACAAAAGGTTTGGTAGATACTTTTGAAACACTGGATGATGCAGACTCATGAAAAGCATAATGGATAGAGTGCCTAAAAGTAACACTGATTCCGTGTTCAGACAACGATATGATGATCTTGTAGTCTACTTGATGGCTAACAGCAGGGTCAAAAACGTGCGTTTTATCCTATTTGGGACTCGTTAGCTAAATGTATCAGCACCCTAGTAAGTGATGCTGTTCCCAGAGGGATTCGAACCCAGCTTCAAAAACCAAAGAGTTACCCACTAGGCTATTGGATCGATTTACTCGATTTTTGTTGTTCCTCTTTTGACTTTCACTTAAACATGATAGAACCTTAAAATAACCAGACTTACAAAGAGTATTGAAGAAAAAAGCAATTCAAAGCTACCGAATACATAGTCAGAGGAGAATCGAGAATTCTTTGCAAAAAGTAAAGTCATTCCAGTTACCATATTGCTGAAGATCAGCTAGATAGAGAAGAAGAAGAAGTCTCTTGAGACAGGAAGATGGTTAACAAGAACGCGAAAGATGTAAAGAAAACGGGTGAGCTGAACACTAAGTTCAGAAATATCACTAACACTACAATGATGCTAAACACGTTTAAATGACAGTAATAAAATAACCGTGAGAAATATTAAATTCTGCGGCGTTTTGAAAAGACTGAGTGAGCGAGCGCGTGCGCACTAGAGAGAGAGAGATAGAGATTACCTATTTCATGTTGAAAGTTTGTATTATACTGAAATAAATCAAACATTAATTGTCATTCTAGATAAATGAATCTTTTTTTTGAGATTGAAGAAAACTTGGCGCCACTTATGCAGAATATTGATATGTATTAAACATTGTAAACCCTGAGAATAAATATAGAAATCTCTACGGGTACAAGAAGTACACCGATGATACTACTTACTACTCATGGTAGTAGTGGAGATGATATTAAAAATTATGCCTTAATGAATAACTTTCACTTATTGACCAGATATTTTGAAAGATTAGTTCACCTCCTCAAACCTTATCTTTGCTGCCATTATCATTCAGACCACCACAGTCATACTCACCACCCTTAACTTCTATAACCTCCACTGTCTCTGCCTAAATTGGTATATACATACAAAAGGAAAAGGGTATTGATTCATTTTCACATGAAACGTCTTGAGTATGCGTATTTCTTTGACCAATTTTCTTTTCTGTGTCAAATTTTTTCTCACAAGACAGTTAAAAAATGTAAAGAGAAAGAGAGAAGGGGGAGAGAAAGAGAGAGGGGGGGTGTTTTTACTCTTTTGTTATTGCTTTGTTTCTAGTTTCAGAACACAAAAGGAGAGAGAAAATGGCAACAAATGTTTTGAAAAACAATGAAAAGGTCTAAGTTTTTTTGGCCAAAAAAGCACAATAAAATTGTCAAAAATTGTCTTAATAATGATAATAAAATCTCGTGAGAGAAAGAGAAAATTTATGAGAAAAATTCATACTATATATATATATTTTGAACTGATTTACATGGGTGGGGCTATTTTTGTGATTATTTTTTGACTAAGCAAGTATTTACGGTTATCTCAAGGTATTGACAACAATATTGAGCGTATCCTTTTGATGTTCAGCGGTTGGATTGTTGAAAATCGTCGGCACTTGAAAGAGATATGACACGCACACTTCATTTCTTATTATAGTCAGTCTAGTTATTCTGTTGGAATGTTTATTCAGAGGAATGATAGGCAGGCTAGACACGTTTGTATGTTATATTGGTAAATACCAATAGCATGTAAGTCTTGTAGAATTTCAGAAATTAGACTATTGTCTATAGCTGTATCACATCCACCGATATGATATAATCCATACTCTGAGAATGCTGACAGTTATGATACAAATCCAGGTTGGTATTCATCAGTGACTGACTGAGATCAGTTGGGGAATTATTCAAAACCTTACAATACTCGACATCTCCTTTGTCTTAATATGCTACTACTCAGTAGTCAGCAGGCACAATCCCACCAGCGACCAAATTCTTAACTTCTGGGTTTCACGGTGAGCATGTTACCGTTCAACTACTGGGTCAGAATCAGATGGTTCATGTTTTCCTACTTCTCTCAGTTCCGAATGTGGGCCGAATTCGTTGAGTAACTGTCCTAATGTTCAATCTGGTTGACCCCACCGGTCATGACTTCTCATTGGAACTTCAAGGAGTCTCATGTTGAATCATTTCATTGATGAGTACTGAACAGTAATTCAATTTGGAGGTTTTTAGGGATTTATTTATTCATTTCAGGATGGTATTTATCACGGGTTGACATTAGTAAGGGAACCACTGAATGGCTGTTTTGTCCTAGTATGCGACTCATTGGAAGTGCGCATCCATGACCTCTTCACAACGGAACCCGGAACCTTACAGTTTCATGGCGAACACGTCACCACTGACCTTGGAGGGGGTCCATGGGTGGCTACTGCCGAGGAGTCCCATATGGTCCCAATGGTCCTCCAACTGATGTCAGTTCACAATGAATACCAGGCTGAAATCAATAAATAAGTCCTCACTGAAGTGATCGACAGAATAATACGGAATGGGAGCATGCTACTAACGTAATAAGTTAGTTAGTCTGGATACGAATGGCGACTTTTCTCCATTAGAAGACATAGATCCACCTGTGATTGGAGAGAAGACAGCTTTATTTAACAAAAATCAAAACTTATATAGTTTCTCCTTGGAAAATAAAACCATTAGGCTAGAGTTGTATAGTTATTTTCATTGGTCGGATGAAGGACAACGTTATCCAATAAGACTTTTCCTACCGACAGAGTAACATGAAACAAGACTAAAATCCAAAACTTCTTCCTGAATGACTGATGACTTAGAATGCTGATTTCGATTTAGGCAGCTTTCTATCACCTACAAAACCTTCAAAGTGAATTATGATTCATTACTGGAATCTGTTTTAGGAAATCTGAGGTGGTATGAAGTTGGATATCAGTTAACCGATTCAATGTATTTCACTGAATGTCTCAACCAACTTCAGGGTTATCTTTTCCATTCTTTCTTCTCACAGTTTTCTATCTCAAGGGATATACCCTTGTGAAGGCTAGGGCAATGAATAACCTTCAAATTCCATGCTTGATAGTAACTCAATTCTTTGGTGGTGGAGAAGGTGGTCAAACAACAGACGGTGTATCGTTAGGTGAAACTGCATACAAAAAAATGCATCATTTGTATATTTATAGCAAATTTTGTAATATCCAGGCTGTTTTTGTTGCTCCAACCAATGTGGGAATTACGCGTCAGATTGCATATATTTTCCCTAGATTTGGAAGTATGATGAATGGTGGTTTTGAAATGCTTAAGTGATTTGTGGTTTATTTGAAGGATTTAAGCAATCTTAGCTAGATTAAGAAATGAATGGAAAAAATTCAGTGAAAACAATGCACACTGTAGAGTTACACAATACTCATACAGCCGCTGGATTCATAATTTATTTCAAGAGTAAAGCAGATAGTGTGAAAGAATCTACGGAATAATAACCATGGTATTTAAAGAAATGAAGTAAAATAGTTTTCTTCAAGAAAACGTCATTATTATCATCATTATTTGTGATAACTGAGTGTCTTATTAAGATAATGCTCAGAGTTGTTTGCAATTTTCTGGCCATTACGGTGATTACGTAGTGCTGTGTGTTTCAAGAATTAGAGATTTCCCATACGATAACTTTGATGATACCGGGGAATATTCATGTTACAACCATGGAGAATTGAAACGGCTTGTTGTTGAAGTTGAATGAAGGCAATTGGCAGGAAGCTCTGATCAACCTAGGTTTCATGCTTATTGGCACTCGTCAGTGAAGTGTATCTGGAGTATCGACGGAACTGATTTTCCTCCTGAGATCCAAACATGTGTCAAGCAGTGGTGCAGTCGGAGATGTTACCACACACCTAATCTGGTAGCGATCAACCTTTTGTAGGGGGTGAGTACATTGATTGATCACTTTAGGGTAATGAGTCAGTAAAATGGCTTATATCACGTGAGTGATACTGATAAATGGAAAAGTAATTGTGAGACTAAGATAATGAATAAAAATCAAGCACTATGGTAGATTGTAACTGCATCTTAGGCTTAACCTAATACGAAAGGTAGAGGAGTTAGAAATGTTAGATTTCAAGATAAAACGAAAATAAGATGGAAGTTTGGGGACTGGTAACTATAGGAAAACTTTCCGTTCAACTTACTACTAGACTGCAAGTCATCTCAGTTCATCTCAGTCAAAGTAGGCTTAGTTAAATGCCTAAGTGATAGGGCAGAAAGGCTTACTAGTAGGCCAGAAAATCTGCAACAAGAAGTTAGACACATCAAGAATACCTTGCATCTCAATAATTAACCACCTAAATTTGTAAATAAATTCATAAGAAATCGAAAGAAAAATATTAACAGTAGTAGTAGTAGTAGTAGTAGTAGTAGTAGTAGTAGTAGTAGTAGTAGTAGTAGTAGTAGTAGTAGTGGAAGTAGTAGTAGTAGTAGTAGTAGTAGTAGTAGTAGTAGTAGTAGTAGTAGTGGAAGTAGTAGTAGTAGTAGTAGTAGTAGTAGTAGTAGTAGTAGTAGTAGTAGTAGTAGTAGTGGAAGTAGTAGTAGTAGTAGTAGTGGAAGTAGTAGTAGTAGTAGTAGTAGTAGTAGTAGTAGTAGTAGTAGTAGTGGAAGTAGTAGTAGTAGTAGTAGTAGTAGTAGTAGTAGTAGTAGTAGTAGTAGTGGAAGTAGTAGTAGTAGTAGTAGTAGTAGTAGTAGTAGTAGTAGTAGTAGTGGAAGTAGTAGTAGTAGTAGTAGTAGTAGTAGTAGTAGTGGAAGTAGTAGTAGTAGTAGTAGTAGTAGTAGTAGTAGTAGTAGTAGTAGTAGTGGAAGTAGTAGTAGTAGTAGTAGTAGTAGTAGTAGTAGTAGTAGTAGTAGTGGAAGTAGTAGTAGTAGTAGTAGTGGAAGTAGTAGTAGTAGTAGTAGTAGTAGTAGTAGTAGTAGTAGTAGTAGTAGTAGTAGTGGAAGTAGTAGTAGTAGTAGTAGTAGTGGAAGTAGTAGTAGTAGTAGTAGTAGTAGTAGTGGAAGTAGTAGTAGTAGTAGTAGTAGTAGTAGTAGTAGTAGTAGTAGTAGTGGAAGTAGTAGTAGTAGTAGTAGTGGAAGTAGTAGTAGTAGTAGTAGTAGTAGTAGTAGTAGTAGTAGTAGTAGTAGTAGTAGTAGTAGTAGTAGTAGTAGTAGTGGAAGTAGTAGTAGTAGTAGTAGTAGTAGTAGTAGTAGTAGTAGTAGTAGTAGTGGAAGTAGTAGTAGTAGTAGTAGTAGTAGTAGTAGTAGTAGTAGTAGTAGTAGTAGTAGTAGTAGTAGTAGTGGAAGTAGTAGTAGTAGTAGTAGTAGTAGTAGTAGTAGTAGTAGTAGTAGTAGTAGTAGTAGTAGTGGAAGTAGTAGTAGTAGTAGTAGTAGTAGTAGTAGTAGTAGTAGTAGTAGTAGTAGTAGTAGTAGTGGAAGTAGTAGTAGTAGTAGTAGTGGAAGTAGTAGTAGTAGTAGTAGTAGTAGTAGTAGTAGTAGTAGTAGTAGTAGTGGAAGTAGTAGTAGTAGTAGTAGTAGTAGTAGTAGTAGTAGTAGTAGTAGTAGTAGTAGTGGAAGTAGTAGTAGTAGTAGTAGTAGTAGTAGTAGTAGTAGTAGTAGTAGTAGTGGAAGTAGTAGTAGTAGTAGTAGTGGAAGTAGTAGTAGTAGTAGTAGTAGTAGTAGTAGTAGTAGTAGTAGTAGTAGTAGTAGTAGTAGTAGTAGTAGTAGTAGTAGTAGTAGTAGTAGTAGTAGTAGTAGTGGAAGTAGTAGTAGTAGTAGTAGTAGTAGTAGTAGTAGTAGTAGTAGTAGTAGTAGTGGAAGTAGTAGTAGTAGTAGTAGTAGTAGTAGTAGTAGTAGTAGTAGTAGTAGTAGTAGTAGTAGTAGTAGTAGTAGTAGTAGTAGTAGTAGTAGTAGTAGTGGAAGTAGTAGTAGTAGTAGTAGTAGTAGTAGTAGTAGTAGTAGTAGTAGTAGTAGTAGTAGTAGTAGTAGTAGTAGTAGTAGTAGTAGTGGAAGTAGTAGTAGTAGTAGTAGTAGTAGTAGTAGTAGTAGGGTTGAGAGTGAATTCAAAGCCTCAGCAGTGTTACCATACAAAGAAGGCACTTCAGAAGCCTTACGAAGAATTCTCAATAATGCTGTGATTAGAGTCGTATTTAAATCGACAAACTCGTTTAGAAACAAGATTTGTAGGTTAAAATATTTTTCTGATCTAATTTGGCTTTACCAAATCTCTTGCAATGATTATGAGGTCAAATACATAAGCCAGAGGAGTTGGCTAGGGTCAGTCAGGCTATCCAAATACAAAATTTGGTTAAATCAAGATTGGTAGATCCTAATGAAGCGTGAAAAGTTATGTATGCATTCCCACAAAATGGCACAACAGGGTTGGATACAGTGACAGTGTTAGAAACTAAGTTGACTGGAGTTACAGATCGACAACTGAATCTTTGTTTATTAAATCAACATCGAATAGGAATGGTTCTGTACCTGTTCCAGATATATAGAAAATTCCAATAACCTTTCTGCAAAGAAGGAGAGAGAAGTAGAACTATAGAAGCCATGTCACAAAGTTACCTGATATGAATATGGAGAATAAATTATATCCGAAACATTACCCAGTCAACAATAATTTAATAAATAGACTTAAGTGGAATTTTGGTATAGGTTCATCATTTCTATGGAAAGGGAATCAAATCGTTTACCACGGTAGTGACTAACTCCAAAGGTCCCCCTGAAAACAATTAAAACAACCAATCAGACCTCATGGTTCCATGAAAATCTGCCTTTCCATCCGAAGTAAACAAATCTAATTGGCTTTAGATCCACTTAATAAACTTGTCCTTAGAAAGTGATATTCACAGCATTTTCACTACCAGCATATCTTTCCTGTTTTAAACATACAGCTAATGCCTTACATCGATGAATAAAATGTCCCCAATGAAAAACAAGTTATAAATATGCAACACAACAACTTGAACTATAAAGTGGTAGACGGTTTATGGCGGATTAATTGGATGATGAGTATGAAGCAGATTTAAAAATTGCACCGTCTATCTTAACATCGTTAACAGTTAACTAGTCTTTCACCTGTCCAACTGTGGTATCACCTTAATTTCCTTTGGAAACCATCCACCAGTCAAGATCACAAATTGTGATCTCTGACACAAAACTGTCATCGAGTCAAGTGAAATATACTAATGAATAACAAGGGTGATTAGAAACCACAGAGAGTGGTTTGTACGTTTCGTGAGCCAGATCAGTGTGCACTAAACCACCTGTATATTGATCATCCTATTTAAGGTTGTTTACCACGCCGTCTATGTCAGTTAACCAGATCCGGTTGGTTCTAACAGTTAGGCTGTTCAAGCAGAATTCATCTGAAGTCAACGTCAATGAGCTCAGCTTCCAACTTGCCTTCTTCCCTTTGTTTTAATAATTCATGTCAAGAAGGTATCCATTCGTAAACAAATCTTTGTTTATGATGATAAAATAAATATGCAGAAATCCAAGAGAGTATTTAACACTGACTGATATCAGTTGGTAAATCATTGGAAATCTTGGAGCAGTGGACAGCTGTTTCGTCCTAATATGGGGCTTATCAACAATGAGCCCCTATAACCTTGAAAGAGATTAAACTCAGAACCATCAACTGAGGGGAAGGAGCATGCTACTGTTCCTCAGAGGCTTATTCGTTTACTTTACGATCACAGGAACGATGCAGCTTTTGAGGAATGTTGATAATGGTTGTAATCACTAGATCCCTGTTGGTAGATGGGCTGTCTCGATACTGCCTGGATATCCATTATTTTGTAGTCTACTTGTTGACTAACAGCGAAATCCAGGATGTGGACTTCGTCCCACTTGAGACTCGTCAGCTGTAGGTACCTGCACCCCAAGGAGTGTTATTGTTCCAACTGGGGTTCGGACCCAGTAGACACCACTTCACATGCTAAAGCATTATCCACTGGTGCAGGTACATCCGAAGGACGAGCCTCGAATAAAATGAAATGCGTGTCCTGGATTCTACTACTAGATACCAAGTAAACTTGAATTTTTGCTCACCCAAATTGTTTACGCATCGTTAGAGGTTCCTTGCTGACAGCATCATGCATGGTTTACCTATTATTTAATAACTTCTGTTTTTGTTAACTGGGATTTTCATTAATTTTTCTAGTTATCCCATAGTGAAAACTTTATTACAAACTGGCCATACTTATTTTTAGAGTAAGAAACTGCCGCTCTCATTGAACAACCAATGACTCTGCATAACAGGTAACCTAATGACAACTAAGCACGAGATATTAGGTGTACTTGGAGGCAGTCAGTAAGAAATCTTGGTTCTGTAAGATTTCCTGTTTGCTGACAGAAGTCAACAAAGCGAATATGCGACAATGAGGGGACTGATGTTGCTTCAGAGATGTGAAACCATGTTAATTACTGCTGGAGTCACAGACGTTTCCACTAGGATCCTCCAATCCTGAAGGAGGTCAATCGTGGCCTAAATGCCTCAGCAGTAACATTTCCGAATGCAAAACTGGGTGATGCAGGTTTGAATCTCTTAGAAGACAAATTTTCTTGGGGTTGATGATATTGTCTTGTTTACCTTTGCCACCAAGCATGAAACATGGGTCAAACAGCGTTACCTGCCAATAACTGGCACAAGGGGTGACTGTGATGACTCAGTAGCCTAGTGGATAACACTCCAGTGGCTAAAGCGATTGGTTCTGGGTTCATGTTTCACTAGGGGTAATACCATTCCTTGCTGAGAGACAGGTGCATCTAGCTGACAAGTCCCAGCTAAGCAGAAACATGCAACCTATATTCCACTGCTGGTCATCACCAAGCAAATTACATCATAATGACTCTTCTTCAGGTAATATTGAGGCCTGCGCTTGGGAGCTCACACGCCAACAGGTAATAACAAGCATCAATGGTGTTTTCCGAAAACTACTAAGAGAGAAAACGGGACTAGACTAAATAAATCATAGCATCCAAATGTAAAGTATGTAAAGTCTGCGATGTATGGCCATTTAGGATATGTTGACTTTTACAGACTTGTATACAAGCCTTAGCAACTCACAGTGGTGGATGAAGAGCTATAAGGTAGGTAAGACAGGATGTAGAATGCTGCTGCTGTATCGGTTCAAAACACTACACTCCATAGTAGCACACAAAGAACAGTTAAATGGTAAAAAGGTGATATCAAAGTAGACAAAGGTGTATAGGAAGAGAAGAAATTTAGAAGTTAAGGTTAGTGAAAATATTTAAGCTTTAGAAGAAATTAAAAGTGAATAGATATGTGCTAGTGTGACCGATTTTCAACTATTTCGCCACAAAACCTCAACCATTGATTCCTATCGTCTCGGAGATTCCAGCAAGGTAGTCTACACCCTACTATATAGTTCAGACCAACAATCAGGGACTGTATACACTGATGACACATCTTTGTCTAGCCTCCCTAAACCCTCTTCAAACGTAGTGTGACTTCCTTCAGCAACTAAGGTTCACCACCTCTTCAACTGACTTGCCTTCAATATTCCTCACATGGTGATTCCACCATACACGAGACATATATATCAAATGAAAACTATTGATACTTCGTTGACACTCAAACTTCCAGTTTCTTACCTTCGACTGACTGGTTAAAAACCAAGTACATAAATCACTTGTGGAAAATACATCGGGATCGATAGTTCTTTAAAACCACCAGTTATATGTATTCAACCTCGCCTGGTTAACTAGTTTACTAGTTACTAGCCGGTCCTAAGCCCGGGTAAAGAGGGAAGGTTGGGCATAGGGCTAGCAACCCTACCCCGTAAAACAAATCTAACCGCTAAAGAAACTTCAAAGCACAAACAAAATATAAAAAATGAAAACAAACTTATTCCCCGCTGGAATCGGAGAGGCGAAATGACGCCAGTTGGTGAAAGCCTTCGGGAAGCCAATTGGCCGATGTGTCTTCTCTCGATGAAAGCGAAAGTAAACGTGGGGACATGGAATGTCCGCACGATGTTTGAACCCAGTAAGGCAGCCCAGATTGCAAAGGAGATGAGAAGGTATAACATCGAAGTGCTTGGGATTTGCGAAAGCAGATGGAATGGGAGTGGACTCTCCAAACTGTCAACTGGAGAATCAATAATCTACTCCGGTCACCCAGACGCCAACCACGAGCACACTGAGGGAGTGGCTATCATGATGTCCTCAAGAGCATCGAAGGCTCTCATGCAGTGGGAACCAATCTCCTCCAGGATCATGACAGCAAGATTCAACTCAAAAGGAAGAAAGGTCACAATCATACAATGTTATGCACCTACAAATAATGCAGAGCAAGAGAAAAAGGAGGATTTCTACAGACAACTTCAATCAACACTGGACAAGACGTCAGTTGGCGATATCAAAATTCTAATGGGCGACATGAATGCCAAACTGGGAGGGGACAATACGGGAAGAGAACTAACCATGGGTCGAGAGGCGCTAGGTGAAATGAATGAGAATGGAGAATTGTTTGCAGAATTCTGTGCATTCAACGATTTGGTGATTGGAGGCAGTGTGTTCAGGCACAAGGATATCCACAAAGCGACATGGACTTCACCAGATGGACACACTAAAAATCAAATCGACTTTATCTCAATCTCAAGAAAATGGAGACGCAGTCTACTTAACACAAGGTCAAGAAGAGGAGCAGATGTAGGTTCACACCACTATCTAGTGCAAGGAACCTTCCAAATCAAGTTAAAAGCCTTCAAGGAAGCTGGTGATAGACCTCAATTCAAGTACAACACTCGGAAACTGAAGGATGAAACTACAAAGGAGATCTTCAAGGCAGCCATCAAGACAAAATGGGAGACATCGAGGGACATCCCTGAAGAAACCTGTGTGGAAGAACACTGGAAGTCTTTGAAAGCTATGTGGAAAGAAACCTGCACAACAGTATTAGGAAGGAAGAAGGTGGAAGACAAGGAATGGATCTCGACGGATACCTGGAAGCTGATAGAGGAGAGGAGGATGGTGAAGCAGAAGATAAACCAGTGCAAGGATGCTCAACGACAAGAGGAACTGAGCACAATGTATAAAACACTGGACAAAGAAGTGAAGAAGAGTGCACGCAAAGACAAAAGACACTTCTACGACACACTGGCAAGTGAAGCAGAACAGGCTGCAGGTAAGAGAGACCTGACGACATTGTATCAAATAACCAGGTTGCTATCAGGGAAGAGACCAACACAGATGAAACCAATAAAAGATGAAGAAGGAAATTTAATTACAAAAGAAGAGAAACAGAGGAAACGATGGGCCGACCACTTCAAGAAGCTCTTGAATCGACCACCACCTGCACTTCGTCCAGAAATACCACCTGCAGCCGCTGAATTACAAGTGAACATTAATCCCCCAACGAAAATGGAAGTCCTGAACGCCATAAAGCTACTGAAATGCGGGAAAGCAGCAGGACCAGATGGAATACCGCCAGAAGCACTGAGAACAGATGCAGAGACAACAGCGGACATGCTCACACCACTATTGCAGAAGGTGTGGAAGGAAGAGAAGGTACCTGACGATTGGAAGAAGGGTTACCTTGTCAAACTGCCGAAGAAGGGAGACCTCAGTGCTTGCAAGAACTGGCGCGGAATCACTCTCCTGTCCACCCCAAGTAAAATATTAAGCCGCATCATCCTGGAGAGGCTTAAAGACGCACTGGATTCAAAACTGCGACCGGAACAGGCAGGCTTCAGGAAGTACAAATCATGTGCTGACCAAATTGCAACGCTTCGTATCATCATAGAACAGAGCGTAGAATGGCAATCAGCTCTATACCTCAACTTCATCGACTTTGAGAAGGCCTTTGACAGCGTCGACCGAGAAGTAATTTGGAAACTGCTTCAATACTACGGAGTACCGCAAACCTTTATCCGCCTCATTCAACAACTATATGAAGATGCCACATGCCAAGTAATCCACAATGGGAAGCTCAGTGATGCCTTTGAAGTGAAGACAGGAGTGAAACAAGGTTGCCTACTATCCCCCATGATATTCCTTATTGTGGTGGACTGGATCATGCAGCAAACAGTAGGCAGCGAGAAGAGGGGGATACACTGGACGACGGAAAAGAACCTAGAAGACTTGGATTTCGCCGATGACTTGTGCCTAATGTCACATAAACTTGAAGATCTGCAGGCAAAAACTAACAAGTTGACAGAAGAGGCAGCTAAGACGGGACTTCAGGTGAATATAGAGAAGACAGAAGTGATGAAGATACCGCACCACCACCATCAACAACAACAACAAACTCCAATCACCGTCAACGGGAGAAACTTGAAGGAAGTAACCTCCTTCACTTATCTAGGAAGCACTGTTTCAACTACAGGCGGGACGGACGAGGACGTCAAAGTCAGAATCGGAAAAGCAAGACAGGCGTTCATTAGCCTGAAACCAGTGTGGAGATCTTCTGCACTCAGCATGCGGAACAAGATACGGATTTTCAACACCAACGTCAAGTCAGTGCTCTTGTATGGCTCAGAGACTTGGCGCGCCACGAAAGGTATTTCCAATAAACTACAGACATTCATCAACAACTGCTTACGCTCGCTGCTGAAGATCAGATGGCCAGAAAAAATAAGCAACAAGGAACTCTGGGAACGAAGCAACCAAGAACCTATCACGCAACAAATATGCAGGAAGAAGTGGAGATGGATTGGGCATGCACTGAGAAGGCCGACTGAGGACATCACGCGTCAGGCCCTCGAGTGGAATCCCTATGGGAAGCGACGAGTTGGACGTCCGAGGGTGACATGGAGGAGGTCATGCGAGGAGGAAATGAGAGCTTCTGGGCTGTCGTGGAACCAGGTTCAAAAGATCTCAGAGAACAGAGGTCACTGGAGGCGTGCTACTGAAGCCCTATGTTCCACTCGGAACCCAAGGGACTAATAATAATAATAATAATAATATGTATTCCATTCACTGTGACAGTAGTCATCGTTCTGTAGCATAACACAACCTCAGGGATTAACCATTACAAGTATTATATATAGCTTAATGTGGTTGTAGCAGTCACCGAAGCCAACTACCTCGTCAAGATAGTAGCTACAGCTTCGAGCTGCCACAAAGAGATGTCGACAAAAAGTTTCAGACAGCTTGAAGCGAAAGGCTGGACACAGAACAATCGGATATTCAGAAGTTAAATATACTAAGTTAGGACGATAATTCTGAAGTGATTAGATTGGTAGTTAGTCACAAAGTGGCTAGCAATGAGATACAGGATGCAGATTTTTGTCTATCTGGGACTTGTCACCTGGGTGCACCACCCTTTCAGTGAATAGTGCTGTCCCTACTGAGACTCAAATCCAGCGCTTACCACTTCAAGTGCTAGCTATTGAGTTACTACAGTCTCTATAGGATAATTTGGTGTTATCACTTACAGTTGCCTGTTGTTGACTGGATTGATTTGACTGGTCATCATTACTATACGCCCTCCTATCCTGGATTCCAGTCATAATGGGAAAAACATCACTCACTGGGATTTAGGTACATCCAGCTGACGAGTTTCAAGTAGAGAGAAATGCGCATCCTGGAAAGTGTTCATGTAGAAAAGTAGTTATCCATCTCTCTATCCGCCGAGTATCCCCACTTCTCAGGAGACTGAAAAAAAAGAAGAGGGCATACAAACATACACATACGCACACAAGCACACATTAAACACACACACACACAAAATGCCAAAATCATGTTAATGAGGCTATTTCATTCACTTTCTCCATAATTTGATGAATTTCTTCATTACATCAATAATATTTAGGAAGGTAATTCTTTTTCATTTCTAAAAGACAATTTCTGCTAATGAGGTGATTTGATGATTCTACCAACCTTTTATGGTTGCTATCTGTGCCCCGAAACACAAAATAAAACTCATATGTATACTATAAATATGTTTACATTTACAAGATTTCGTTGTTAGAGATACAATCGCCAAGGCTAAAAGAAGAATTCCTGCTAAGACAACGATGACAAGTAGGAGTAATCGGTAAAGGCATACACACGCACACACACGCACACACACATATATACACGCTGATGGGAATGATGATCAAAATGTATTACAATTGAAAACAATCTAGTTATGTAATATACGCACAAAAACACTTACCATGTGACTGTTCAAGCTAATTACTAGACAATGTTGACTTGATCATGAAGAGGTTTACATGTGCACGATGGGCGTGTATACCTGAGTGTGTTGCGAGGAGATAGAGGGGGGAGTGAGCGTATTATGGGAGGATTTGTGCACATTTGTAAAACAAAACTCCAGTAATTAAGTAACATAATGCTTCTTTTCGCCTGTATTCTTGCCTAAAATGACGACCTGGCAATTGGAAGATTCTATTTTGACAGTATGTCTCGTTAGTTCCCATTTGTTAGTTGGTTTTCATGAAATTAATTTGCTTCACACGCTTGATATTAATGATGAATAGGGGATAGTAGTGGAGTCCAGGATGAGAGTTTCATCCTATTCAAGAATCGCCAGCTGTATGTACCTGCCTCCCATTGAGTGCTGTTCATCCTAAGGAGACTCGAACCAAGGACCAATCACTTGAAACACTAGAGCATTAACCACATCACTCACTGGGAGGCAGTTAAAACCAACTGACGAGTTCCTAGTCTGAAAGAAATGCACCTACTGGGTCCCACTGATAACCACTTCCCATCATTAGTATCAAATTTGAAAGTACCGGCCATATCGAGGTATCCTCATAGAAGTCTGTGTGCCAGTAGTGTCCAGTCGACTCGGTTTAATCAACTAAAAGTATTCACAAGCTACAAAATCAAATATTGCATTCGCCTTGATGACTTGCAGTGGAATCCAAGATGGGTGTTTCTTCCTATCTAGGACTCATCAGCCGGCGGTGCCTACAGAAGTGGGAGGATGTGGATCATTGGATCCTGACTCAGTGACTGAATAAGAACATGCTTACTGCTAAACCTGAGAGTCCTAGGTCCGGCCTATTGAGGGGTCATGGGTACTCGCTGTTGAGTAGTTCCATACCAGAACAAAGTGTCTGTCCAGTTCTCCCAGGTTTCCAGTGATTCTCCAACCGATACCAGTTTGTGATGAATGCTACCTTTAAAATAAAATTCCAGTAACCTCGAAATAAATCACTGCATAGTATTCATTAGTTATATGCTTCTAGGTGATTATCTCGAAGTCCTAATGTAAAGTCATGGCCGGCGGGGTCAGCCAGTTGGAAGTGAAGCGCATGTCAACTGGAGATCTTGGTGGATAGTCGGGTTATATCGCCAAATGACGGAAGTAGGAAAATATGGACCACTGAAATCTGACCCAGTAATTAGATGGTTAACGCGTTCGGGGTGAAACTTGAAGGTTCTGAGTCCAATCTCTAGCCAGGACGTGAATGCGTACTGCTGAGGAGTCACGTACCGAGACAAAACAGCCGTCCAGGACTCTCGGGTTTTCATTGGTTCTCTAACTGATGTCAGTCAGTCCATGATGAATAATACGCCAAAATTAAAATTCCGATTAACCTCAGAATACATCTAATCACATTGTTTTAATTAAAGCGAATGATCAGTGAGTCATGTCATTTGGTTGTAGAGGATCAGTAAGAAGTTTCATTTGATCTAGGTTTTGTGCTTATTGGCACTTGTCATCAAGGCGTCTCCGTAACATTAAGGGAACTAATATCCGCCCAGCGATTCAAACTCACACCACTCACTACTGTAATCAGAGAGACTGCCTTTGAGCTATACATGTTACAATTGACAGATATCCTGTAGGAATAGGTTACACACATTCATCGGTAACTGGGGAGTAGCCAATTTCATCTTGTCTAATCCTGATTCCTGATGGAATTCTATCGCCTAGTTCACTAGGTTTCAGACACACCTTGCTAAAGGGTCAAATTAGACTTTCTGTTGATTGGCTTCACACTAAGCTATATTAGTCAAGGTGTACGGTATCCTCGTCTCCTTGATTGGTGACCATATTACTCTAAATGATCAATAGAGTTTGGCCAACACTTATGGCAAGACAACAATAAAATCGATTACTCTCCAGTGAATGACCAATCAGTAAACTTAACGATTTGAAGATCTTTCTAATTTTTACTTGTTTACAGGCATCACTGAAACAAGGAAACATTGAATAGTTTTTTTCCATTGGATTTTAAGATTTATTGATACTGGGACCCCATGTGTTATCGTATATGACAAAGACAAGAATAAAGTGTAGGATAAACTGATCGAATGACTAGGAAATATTTCAGATGAAATAAAAACGGTTATTTTTCTGCAAAGAAATACAACGCAAAATGAAATAACTAGGATTTAATGATGAAGTAATATTTGTTAAGCCAACTATAAGTGAAATTCAAGGTCATTCACACAGTACTCATTCTATTCATCAGGGGCTGACTGAGATCAGTTAGGGAACCATTCAAAGCACTGGACATCTCTTCCGTTCTAGTATGCGACTCTTCTGCAGTCTACATACAAAACCCCATCAACAACGGAACTCAGAACCTTCGGGTTTCACGGTCGTAAACAAATGGTCCGTATTTCTCTACTTCGAGGAGGTCACAGCATATCGCGAACTGAAATTAGTAGGAAAATGTGGATCACTTGATTTTGACCCATTGGTTTAATGTTGATGTACTCTGCACGATTCATGAAAGTCCTGAGTTCGATCACTAGTAAGGTTGGGAGTGAGCACTGCTGAGGAGTCGTGTACTCGAGCGAAACAGCTGTCCAGTGTTTCCAGGTTCTCAGTGATCCTCCAACTGATGCCAGCAACCCTGAAACAAATGTTTAAACGTGATTAGTTTATAACGTAATCAACTTTATTGGTCATGGGTTTTAGACATGATCAATAAGTTGCTAGCCGATATCTGTTATTTGGTTGGAAGTAATCAGCAGGAAGTAAGTCCTACTTGACTTACATTTCACCCTTGTTGGCAATCGTCAGTAAGGAATATCTACGAATGAAACGCACTCAGCAACTATCTGTACATTCAAGCAGTAAGCAGTGAACGACATCGATTGCATGAGAGTTAATAGTACTACTACCTGGCTACCAAAAAATCGTTTTACGTGGGGCCAGCGTTTGAACCCTTAACTCACTAGTTGAAAGCTAACTCCCTTAACCAACGAATCAGAGGAACTGGTGCCTCTCTAGGAAATTCATATCATCCAGTATTGCAGTCACAGACCTTATCACTGAGCTATTTTAGCATCTATGTTCTATTAGATCAAATTTATTTCACCTGAATAATGTATAGTTCTACTCTATGTACAGGTGTAGAACTAGGTCTTCGTGTATTAAGATCCTTCATTACTATGATACTTTTCAGCTTTATATAAGATATCAGCTGTTTTTATCCAATCTAAGTTTTCAATCTACTTTTAAATACTGATAAACTTACCTTCTGACTAACTTTATCAATTTGTGTATTTTACTGTTTACTCATGTGACAGCAGTGATGTTAATGTTGATGATGATGATGATGGTGTATGCAGTTTGTTTAAATTGCTTTTAATTATCATGTGCGCGGGTTTCACTCATCCATTTACATTACATACATCATATATATACTACATCTATCATAAATTTAAATAAAATCTTTGCAATGGTCTATACTAGATTATTCTTTTCTCTATCTGTATTAGTGCTTACACTATCTGTTTTTGCTTACTTTAGTCTTAAAATGTATCATATTACAAGTAAATGAGAAGTGAGAATAAGGTTCAACTTGAATTTATTTCATATACATACATCTTTATGTGTAGGCGATTAAATATGCGTATAGTATGATCATTTAATTCACAGTCTTCTTCAACTCATAAAGACAAAGCTAACGAGAATTATATTTTGAAGCTTAAATGTTTCATTTCCTTTTTTTTTTACAATTAATGAATGTCATATTTTAATCGTAAATTTTAATTGTAGGTAAAGATGTAAAAACACACAGTATCACGTGTAAATATATATAAGTCTTAATGATGATTAATCTGTGTATATAATGAAATAGAATTGAGGATGAATAATATCATTTACTAGCATAAGGAGATCGACCAAGTATTCATACTGTGTCAGGTTTTGGAACACAGACACGCTTACCGGAGCCTGACATTGGCTGTATTTCACGACTTGAAGGAGGCATTCAACTCTGTTGATCGAGAAGTCTTATGGCAATATCTTTTACTAAAAGGTGTGCAGAGTAAGTACATCACTTTATTGAAGGCTCACACTACTCGAACACTTGCTGGCGTGTTAAAGCCTATGGTGAAATGTCAGGTGAGCTGTACTCATCGAGTGGTGTCCGTCAAGGGTGCTCGCTCTCTCCATTCTTATTCTATTTTATCATAGATATTCTTATGGTGGTCTCCCTCTCGTCACCTAGTTACACAGATGTTGACCTAATTGTTACACACTTCAGTCATCAAAAACCAATTGAAAATCTAATTCACATAAAACAACTGAATCCAATACAACTCTTCTCAATTATTCTAGCAATTTTTTATTACGAAAGAGGTAACTGCCTTTTCATGAGGGAAAAATACCATTTTGCTGTTCCAGAGAGATTCTTGAGTGACCTTGAAAGTTTACAATTTGCTGTTCCTGATAAAAGATTCAGGATATTAAAATTATACCGTAAAGAGAGTTTTCATTTTATAGCTTGTGGATCACCCTTGTTGAGGCAAGTACATTCGGCTGACGAATCCAAAGCAGGACGAAACAGGCATCTTGGATTCCACTGCTAGCCACTACCTACCATTATTATATATCTGAAAGGTTTCAAAATTAGTTTGATGCAGCTATGGACAGGAAATTTCATCTTAAGCATTACTCACTGAATGACGATGTTTTATTATGTAATATTTTCTGCTCATGAAGTATTA